TTCGGCAAACACTGGAGTGAGGCACCAGAAAGTTTCTTGCCAAAAACCAACTGGCGGACCTCAGAACTGCTTACTCGGTGTTTTCACTAGACTTGAGCAATGCTCCGCAAGCATTGGCTTTCAAATACGGTCAATCGTTTAGTGTCTGCAATGCGAACTGCGCAGATCTTCCTGGCCATACTGCAACACCCACGTTATTACAGCGCTATACACCCTGCCTCTGACTGTCAGTCTGATGTCCCACCGTCTCCATAGGTGGTTGCGTCTAAGAAAAAAGACTCAACAACCACCCAGCATGGTTTGTATATCGGAACTTGGTTCTTTTGATAAAGTTGTAGGTGGAGATTTCAACCTACCAGATATCTGTTGGTCAAACTTAGTAACAAACGCGAAACATGCTGAGCTCATAACCTCCCTCATCACTGGTGGTTGGGAGTAACATGTTCTCGTGTCTACCAGGGAAAAAATATACTAGGCCTACCTTTTACCTCAGGCACCTCCCAGATAGCTACTGATGTAATTGACAGTCTCCCTGGATGTGACCACAAAATAGTCGGATGTAAAATTATAGCTGGGTCGTCGCATGTGAGGTCTGCGGTGGTTCCACACTTCCTGCGAAATGTTAATTGGGTAGATTTCTCCGCTTTGCTTAAGGTCCAAAATTTGGACCATTTCTTTCTTTCGTCTGACATTAGGGGGAGCCTCTGATATCTTCTATGGCGATGTGACTATATGCTTAAGCATACCTACTGTGATAATACGAGAGCCTCTTCTAGGTACGCTAACAACGCAAAGGACAAGCAGAAAATACGAGTGCTAACTCGAACATATGAACGTATTCACGACTTCAGTGTATTACTGAGACTCAAACGCCTTATAAAAGAGACGCACATGAAACACCACACCCGTCTCATGCAGGAAGAACAACGGGCTGTATATAGTAGTAATACAAGTCAACTAGTGACTGCATTATTGGGAAAGAGAAGAGGTGGCAAAACTGACCTACCCTCCCACATCGTCATGCCTGAAGGCGAATGCATTGATTCTCCAATTGCCATGGCAGAAGCCTTTAACTTATACTTTTCTAGATCTTTTAATTTTGAAAAAGAAACCCTGGAATTGTCAACCTCGTTTCACTTCTCTGAACAAGTCCCAGCGATCGAGCTTAGTGTCCCTGCGATAAAACCTCTACGATCTACGTCTACGATCATCCTACAGGCCTGGCCCTGATGGGATCTCTTCTGCTTTAGTCAAACACGGTGGAGATGACATCCCTCTTATATTATTAAATATCTTCTCTTTGTCTCTCCAGTCTGGTCAATATCCCGAACATTGGAAAACGGCTACGGTTATACCGCGACATAAGTCCGGGTCAAAAACGGACATCCGGAACTACCGCCCCATTAGTCACAGCCATTCTCTCACGCATGCTAGAGAGAATTGTTAAGGAACATTTGGTTTCGTTCCTGATATCGCAGAAACTTATCTCACTTTCACAGCATGGCTTTCTGAAGTCCCGCTCTTGTGTTACCTGTCAAGTTGACTTCCTTAACCATCTAACTGAAGCAATTGACTCAGGTCTTCAGTGCATTGTCATCTTCCTAGACATGCAAAAGGCGTTTGACAGAGTCCCACACAAAAAGCAGCTATATAAATTAAGTAGGTACGGTGTTACAAATCCGCTTAACTCTTGGATTCAATCGTACCTAGTAGGACGGTCCCAAGTTGTGGATATCAATGGTTACATCTCTTCACCTCGTCTGGTCACCAGTGGAGTGGTACAGGGCAGTGTCTTAGGTCCGTTACTCTTCCTACTGTATGTAAGTAATCTCGTTTCTGTTACACAATTTGGGAAGCCTTATTTGTCTGCTGATGATTTAAAGGTAGTTTACACGTTCCCAGGTTTTCAGCGTACTGCTGAACTTAACAATATCCAAAACGACTTGAAAGCCATTGAAAGATGGGCTGATATGTGACAGATGACATTTGCAACATCGAAGGGTAGTATTCTATCGTATGGATGTCAGATAGCAGCAGAAGTGTTCAGGCTTCATGGCGAAGTCATTCCCATCAGCCAGTCTGTTCGTGACTTAGGTTTAATATATTCCAGTTCGTTAAACTTTAGCGACTATACAAATCATATTGAGAAAATGGCTAAGAAGTCGGTCGAGCTCATATGCCACCTGCTAACCTCGAAAGAAACCGGACTAATTGCTTTCAAAATCAGTATCTGGCCTTTGCTTGAATATTGCTGTGTTACCTTCAGTAACCTGCGAAAGGGTGATTTGAGGGCCATTGAAAACGTCCAGTGCGCCTTTACGAAGCGCATATTTGGCTATTCATCCGCTCTTTCATACCGAGATACTAGTTATGAACTGCGAGATAGTGAATGCATATTCTATTTACCTAGATTCAAGACCAGCCTAAGGAGAAATTTCTATCTTCTTAGGTATGGCTCCATATGGAATAAGATGCCAAAAGAGATTAGATGTAATGAACGTTTTTGCATGTTCAAGAAAATGATAAAGGCTTATCTGTCTACGGACAGAGTGAAATGGATCTTAAAAATTCAACTTGATGATGAAAAGCTGTATGAAGAAGGGCCGGATCATGTATAATTTTGGAGAACATCGACTCGAACGCACCAGAGAAAACATGATCATCTACTATGAGCTGCTACAAACCGCTTCTTATGCTATTCTTTAATGCTACCTCCTATGCGGTTTTACTCCTTTCAAACTTAATTCATACCAACTGTCTTCTGTCTAAAACCGAGAGCAAAATTATTTACTGGTGTGACGTCGGGAACTATTTTCGTAATTTTCCCCACAAATTGATTAATTCGTAATATTGTTCTGCAGTTCCCTTCGCTACATTTGTTCTGCAGTGCTAATCATTCCCTCTTCTTTTCTGGAGTTAGCAGTCCAGAAACATATACTTGAATTCAGTGATGGCAATAACTGATTCCCTATGCGACTTTTGCCTATGGACAACTCGTACAGTTATCTGTCTCCGGCTGTCACGCCACAATTTGATCGTATGATCTGCTCGATCAATTTTTTACGCTGATGTCAAAACATACCTGCCCATTTTTTACATTAAGGATATAGTTTTCACATAATTCTTCTTTTCTACATTCTTCCTTATTTCATTGTTGGCCGCGGCTGGGCTGATCTGTGTTGACGGATTATATCTTCCAGCTTATAAAAGACTACCTATGCAAGGCAAATTACCACCAACTGACTGGCGTATAAAAAGGTGCCATAATTGAATGATCCGCATGACGGACTGGGCTGAGACTTCATGGCTCATAACACATGTGTAAAAGCAGCCCTAAAAAGAACACATGATAAACAGGTGATGGTTTATACCCTACAATGCCACACAGGCACGCGGCCAGGTATTGCATGAAAATGCAGGCGAAACCTTTCGAAGGAATACCTTGCATGGAAGCAGGTCCCCTGGGGATGGTTCAACGAGTGGCCGTATTACTTTAACTGGACATCTGTTTAAATCTGCCTACGTTATTGTTCCTGCTTTTTAATTTCTTTAATGACTTAATCCTACCAGTTACTTTAGTACCAGTTTTGGATCCATTGTAAAAAGCGTAAACAAATTGATTATTTTTTTGCGATCCTGTTGTACACATTGATCAGACTACATAATTGGACTGCACCTCGAATCACCGAGGAATATACCATTTATTTATTTATTTACATACCTAAACCGCTGTACATAGTGGGTTACTATGTATACGCCTTGCTTCTTCATGTGACCCCTGCCTTCTCAAATTGAAGTTTACTTTCCTCGTTGAACACGTTTAACCAATGTTGAATGAAGTGATTATTTTGTATGTGGAAGCGAGTTTTTATCGTATTTCTGGTGAAATCAAATAGATATCGGGAGAGCTAATCGATCCGCCTAAGACATTCCCCCATGTAATCGATCGCTTGCCCCACTTTACGCCCTACTTCCGTTATGCACCTGACCCCATCGGATCTCTAAGGTCCATGCGACTGTGAATGTGAACACAGTAAAACTGGGTGTACGCAGCGACATTGTGATTGCACTTGTGTCATGTTCATTTTTAATCACTAGTCTTATTCAACCTTGGCTTTCCTGCTTCGTCACGATTTGCCCGGATGCATAATCACTACTGGATTCTTAGTGTTTCCACTATTCATTCAGCTCATTCACACACTACTTGTTTTGTGTTTTGCCGTCCGCTAGCCGAGGGATTCGAGCATCTGTCTTACAGTCTGCAAATCGCCGGCTTAATTCCTTATAGGGGCAAGCAACGACCTCGCAGTCTCCCTAAGCAAAATGCCGCCACCAGTTGTAGCATGGTAACGAGGTCTCAGTGCGTCGTAGCTACATATTCCTAATACCTTGGATCAGGATAAGGCAGGTAACCGGTTGCTTGATTTGCAATCTGGAGGTCGCAGCTTCAAATCTTCGTAGGTCCTGGCGACCCCGTAGTATATCGCGCCTTTGTAATATCATTGGTGGTCGTCTGTGGCTGCGAGGCGTCGATATGTTGTGTCAACTTGCTGTTGGTGCCTTTTTTCTTTTATGCCACCTACTGACGCGGCACTTCCGATAAACTTAGTGGGGTGTTGGATGGTGTCTCCACTTTGAAGCACTACTGTCAGGCTTGCGCCGTATTCCATTCTTCCAAACATCAGATGAGTAAAAATACTGTGGACGCAATTTTACTTTATCGCCAGCTATTCCACTTTGTGTACTCCATTCGTTGTTTATGCCTTCCGGCATTGATTGCGGTCTGCACGCTTATTAATATTAAGTGACCTAACAGTTATCCGTTATAGTGCTATCCATAGATTTGTTTCCAGACTTCCGCGCAGTAAACTCGTGTGTTGCTCCATTTTGCGTGGGTATCACGCCATTTACCGCAGCGCTTGCTTTCTCTGATTACATGTCCTGATTACTGCATGTCGATTTGATTTAAGTATTGCCTGTTATTTTCTGTATCCATCCAGGAACGCGGCGACCCTTATGATTACAAAGTGGACATTTTCTCCCTTGGCTTGATACTCCTCGAGCTTCTGATCCCATTCCATACCAATATGGAGCGCGTGTGCACTCTGACGCGCGCCAAAATGCAGCAACTTCCCGACCAGCTGGTTGCCCAGCACCCAGACGAAGTAAGATGGTGTTATTCTGCCCGAGTATTCAACCCCGTTTCCCATGCACTTAACAGATTTTTGTGGGACTTGTAGGATACGACTCCGGTTCCCGGTCACCAGTTCGCTATATAGATATCTCTCCCCTTCGCATTCGATACAACATTTTTGGAGACTGCCGACTCACCGGATGCTTTTCATAGTACTGTTGTCCTGACTAGAGAGTGTTAGCTGACTAGCTGCTTTGGTCTATCGACACCTGCGCGATGTTGCTCATTTTGAGCTTTGACCACAACATCATAGGTGCAGCTGATGTCCACAGGTTGGTGTCTGACAACCACAGATCATTTCGCACCGCGCTGTACTGTTGTATCATAAATTTTGTTGGTCTTCACTGACTAGACTGACTAACTCGTTCGTCATGATGATCGATGTTTCCGAGTGGTCCAGTTTGACTGCCGAATGTCGTCCTGCATGATGACACTGAGGTTGGCCATATCACACCCCAACCACTTTGGCTGACACGACTCATTCGTGAAGCCTTTGTTGCTATTGAATGCACCACTTTCACTTGTAGCCTTGAAACTCCCTTGCGGAATTCAAATGTTTTCAGATTTCCTGTCTACATATAGATTCTTCCATCGTTTTCTATGCTTGATATCGTTACGGTCCCAGCCGGATTTACCTGGTTCATCACAATTCATCTGCTGATTCACGATTGGCCACGTAAATTCAGCCGACGTTCTTTTCGACCGATTTTACGTCCTTTTTGCCGCGAGGAGCGCAGCAAAATGTCCGATGGCCTCGATCAGGACAACTCAATACTGTGACGTAAAAATGTGCGATCGATCTAGCCAAGGATCGAAAAAAAACCTTTTGTTCGAATAAGTTCATCCATGAACGTCTGGAGTTCTTCATTCTAGCTATCTCAACGTGTTTCCAAATTGCGACCAAATTAACTACCCATGGCTTCATCACCACCAAACAGGTTGCTCTAGGTCACTGTTAACTGGTTTTTTGCTTACCGCTTCCCAGCTTCTTGACTGGTAGTTTTGAATTCTCTTCCACATGCACTTTCTGCAAATAGGACATTGAGTCATACGTTTGACACGGTCCACGTTTTTTGTGCGATCTACGTAGCTCCCCATCAAGCACCATTCTGACCTCACCGCTGTTTTGATTGCAAGTGTATAGCGATATCACTAATCAGCCATCCTAGCATGTTCTGCATTTGTCATAGTGCAGTGTTTCAATGCCTTGATACATTCACTACTTCAAGTTTTGCACAGTAGGAAATCATTTCGGTATCGCCAGAGAGGAGACCATGAGCGGTGCATCCCACACGTACTGTTCCGTTGTCTATACGATCTGAACGTGGCAGTCATTTCTTCGGTGTGACCGATCATTCGTTTAATCGATGACACTCAATCTGAACTCTTGTTAGCTTGTTCGGTTGTTGCTTATTATTATGGACTGTCCCTAGCAACTCATATGAAACTCGCATAAAACTGACTTATCCTCATTTCTGGACACTCTATGGCCCTCGTACTCCTCCGCACATTAATGTATTTATACATTGGCGCGGTGACCTCAGCCGTGGACGATCTCCATTTGCATTCCTCCTGATTTACATACCCGACAATAAATTCTCCAACCCCACGCTACCATGCGTTGTGTCAGAATGACACTCCACCTAATTAATTTCCCGTGTCTCAGATGCTTACATTTTATTTGATGACTGTCCTGTAATACATACACATACATGCTATGGCGGCATCCATTTAAAAGCAAAAAGGCAAAGATGTGATGGTGAGTAGAAACTATGTAGTACTGGTATACCGGCGATCTGTCGAACGCCACGCAGCATTTCGCGGAGTACCTAACAAATGTAACCTAGCCTGAAGGGAAGTGTGCAGATCATCGGAAACCGATTGGTCATCCGAGCCGCGGGTTATCTACGTGCGTCCACCTCGAACTCTGGGAGAACAGCCAGTCAACTGACCACAGATCCACTGAGTGTGCTAGTGACCATTCAGGCGCCAGGAGGACCCAAATGCACAGGCCCAATTTACTGGCAAAAGAGCGCGAACTCGTGAGAAGTGAACAATCGGATTGGCTTACCAGCCCACGAATATACTGTATGCATTTGTATCAAGATTTGCTATGGACCAGAGGAAAATTCGTGTGACTAAATGGACAAGTGACTAACCGAGCCAGTCGTGCAGTGCACCCAGAAAGTCAACAACGCGGTTCAAGGTACTCTTAGACATAGTGACCGTGCCGAACAAGCGTTCTCAACTCTGAGGATACAAGTTCTCCAAACGGATTACTGTACTGGTTGCTCTTTGTCAGTGTCATACTGCTAGTTATTGTCATTTCTACTCTCACTGTGCTTAACCCAATACTTTACGATATGGCGTGCAGCTTGCATAGGGAGTGTGTTCCGTCACTTCTTAATCGGATATGACAACAGCTGTTCCTTAACTTCCAAGGCTTTTTCATTACTGTCAACTGTACCAATTTGTGGCACTGCGTATCCGGGAACGGCCTGAAGTTCCTCTACCGCTACTTCACAGGACAGATGAGGTTCGCCATGGTTGTCTTTTATCTCCTTTCCCCTCCACGTTTGTGATGGAAATGATCACACATATTTCTCTCCTCTCAGACTCCACCGTAGTACATTCTCGAGCAACTCTTGCATGTGCTGACGGCATAATTCCCCTAGGGGCCGATTCTGGCGCTCCGCAAACACTACTGAGTACTTTGACGTGTAGTTCGCACGATCCGTTAACGTAAACGTTGATCTATTGCATGTCGCCAGAAACCTAGGCCTAAAGTAGCAATTTTCCATTGTAGTGTTGAGCACCAAAAATTGATGAGCAACATGCAATTTTATTTCGGTAACATGACATTACATAACATGTTGAATACAGGCTCACAGTTGCTGGGTAGAAGATCCACAGGCATTTTTCAACAGACTAGCTTTAAGACCAGCATACTAGTGTTTTTTTCGTCTTGTTCTTGACCGGGCGGTCGGATTCATCAAGTTTAACGCCTCATCCGAACTGATGCGACCGCGTTCCACTTGCGTTTTTGGAGTCGAAAATTCACGTGACTCGCGACTTCTACTCGGATTTCCTTTTTTATTTTCCTTAAACCTCCGTTTGTTTTTTTTGCCTACTCTAAGACTACTTAGTGAGCTCTGTACTAGCGCATACCCCGTGATTGACCGCTAGGCTGGTTGGATCGCGGAGGCACTAGACGCACTAGGGATCATTTGTGAACGATTTACCTTACTCGTCCCACGTGCCCTGGACAGCTGATTGAGTGAATGTCACATGTGTACTTGTTATGGCAATCGGTGGTTGTATCTGGACTCGATTTATTACTCACTGGTACGCTTTATGATAGGAGATTTTGAACCGCTTGTGTTATCCTAAATGACATTGAGCTTATTTGCGAGCATGTGGCGGGCTCATACCACTTGGTCCATCATGTGCACGCCCTCGTGTTATTTCCCGAAATTCTCAGCGGAGGCTTGTACAGCACATGTTCGCCATTTATTCTGTCTGGTCGCACAGCCGCTTCCTGCATCCAGCCGTTGACTCGTGCCACTCCTATTGCTTGACATCCTCGTTTAGTGTTTTATTCAGGTAAATCAGAGAGGTTTCTTTTTCTTTGCGCTGATATCGACCCTACACTTTTATGCGCTGCCTTCGTATCTATCGACTTAGAACCACCTTCTTCTGACCATCGTATATTCTGATATCTTTGTTCTCTGCTATCTTCCTTCTAGGCTGCCTTCACCCGTCTGTTGATTGATCCCGTACCTTCTAACCGACCATCAGCTCGACGAATTCTCTCCTCAAGTCTGATGTCTCAAACCACCATCGGTGTTGTCTGAGTTTGTCAATGCAGCGCAATTTTGGAATGGATGCCTGTTACCCCACAATTGAATCCCATTCTCACTCTTCTTTACTTATGGACCTGGTGTTTTCTACTCCTTCAGGATTTCGAAAATCTAGATGTGTACATAAGTATGGGTGTTCTGTATTTCTTTCCACCTACGATGGGGCTGTTGACTGCCGAATCGTTTCGTGCGCATCGCTCTCCACTGATGGTTATCAGTCAAAGGTTGGATTGGCGGCATCCGTATCCGGATTTGCCTGTCACTGTAGCCTCCATGGGGACAGCCACAGGACGCCTGCGCCTACAGAGGGGACCATGGTTGGCTTGTGTTGCACCACCCACACACCCCATGTCCGGTGTAAACCCGAAGGAATAAGACCGGGAGGCATGTTTCACCAACAGAACCGGCTCCCACTCCTTTAACAAGCAGAACTGAAGCATTGCGGCCTAATTGGCACACCAGACGTACACAAGGCGGTGGCCGTAGCCCGTTCCACACAGGATGCATGGAACCACTCTTTGAGCCTAGCACCGTCACGAGGACGGTGCACCCCGTCCCCTTCAGCATTGACCAACTGTTTCCTAAAGCCAGTATGGACGAGGTACTGGGTAGTAGATAGGTAGGCACCTTGTCAACATCCACATCAGACGCAGCCACACCGGAGAGCTCAACTAACACCTAAATTCTGAGCTGCACGGATACTCATCACGTAGGCAAACGTATCACATATGCTGCCTTATTGGCCTATATTCGTAACTCGAATGGGAGCGTACGCATCGTACTTTTATTCCGCGTGCTATAGTGCGTTCTCCTGCTCCTGGGAAACCGTTCTCTTGATCAGACGACGGAATTCGCACCGATCAACGTTGTCTTTTATTCGCAACACCTGAAATCGAAATTAGTTTTTCATAAACTCACGTTCTTTTTGTCCTGGTAATGTTCTTTTCGGTTTGCCCCAGTGCCGAATTCCTGCACTAAGTTAGCCGTATAAAAGCGGTATATCTTCGTCGAATTCCTTCGATGTACATGTATACTTGGATTGGTGTCATCCGTGTCCAATGGTAGTTCGAATGCAACATATGCGCATGCGTTTGTCCAAACTTAAGCATGAACTGCCACATACTGCGAAAGTGGTTGGGACAAGTGACTACGCAACAAACTGGGACGGATCTGAGAATTAATCTGAGCCCGGCATCGTCTATCACCAAACACCTCATGACAACCCGTCATCATCACGTTATTACGTAACAAAAACCCGATAATGTTGGCAATTAGTGAGGCGTTGTTAATTAAGTTCTATCAACCTGTGCTATTTGAACAGAAACTCTTGAGGTAATCAATTCGGTTGCCATGGTCTTGACTGACATTTTAATTGGTGGTGCTTATTTTTTTCATTTATGTAATCCCTTGTGTGTTTCTGCTCGTATTGTGTTTGCGACTGAAGAGAACAATCAGTGTTGACATATCGCAACCTCTGTCTTCTCTCTGCCGTAAGGAAATGAATGCGAGGTCATATTATCCCGAGCAAATCTCCAAATCCATGGTACGATTTACAATGAAAATATTGAGCATTGCATAATTAATTGAATAGGGTAGACAGCTAATTTGTATCAATGGCTTCGGTAAATGACACAGATAATGGGGTTAGCTGACCTATGGTCTTGACGCCAAATCTGCGATTCTCATGGCAATTTTGCCGCTTAAGTTGGGCTAACAGTCTGTAATCATACATCTCGTTTACAGCTCTTTTGCACTACAAATCAATTGTTTCTATGCGTATATGTATTTTTCAATGACAAATGTACTAAAGCATTGCCGTACCACCACACTTGAATTTACCTACTTCTAGGTCAATCCATAGGATTGGCCGTTTCCAATGCAAATCCTACCAGGCACCTTTGCCCTTTCGCCTCTTACCTAAATAATAGCTGCCTTTTCCTAAACGCACCTAAGCAGTACGACGGATGAACAGCAGGAAATATAGCTACACTCACTCTCATGATTAATATGTGGAACATAACATGTAGATTCAACACCAGCATGTTAATCGCTAGCCAGTTACTTGCCGGGATCGTTCACTTTACACGAATGAGCCTACGTGTGGACACTTGCAACGAAAGATGTTGAGTCTGGAAACCCGAGATTTTCTAGACTGCACTTCAGAGCGAAGAAACGTTGTAGTCATTGGACTCCAGGGACAATTGTCGATTCATACACACAATTCTTCACTCGAATCCAAGAACCAATGTGTAATATGGTAAGGTGATGCGTTGAGACTACTGCATCAGACCGGCTTACGGGGAACGACAGGTTTTCATCTGCCAAAGTATTGGTGCCTAATAAACATATCAGCGTCCAAAGCTTCTTGGTAATCCGCGTCTTATCCGTGAGCATTGCATACCCAATAGCATAACCACCACTGCTGAGCTAATGAGTTGCATCGGGGTACAACAGCTTCACACCATTTACTACGAAAAACACATACCTAACTGTCTAATCAGGCCCCACGATCTTACAACTACTTTTGGGCTCCAGCAGCTTCATCAAAGATACTGCCTTGGCGGTAACGCATGGGTCGAATATCTGGTCTCAACCTGTCAGTGAGGTTTAGCAGAAACAAGATTTCACACGGGCTTTCTTCGCAGATTTTAAACTAGCGTAGGTGCACTACATTTCAGCAGCGGTTGCACTCAAACGTTTCACGTATTCTGCCCAACTGTTAATAACCAAAGCAGTTCTCGTTTGCCTCCGTCTGTCGAGGCTTCAGTGACTGCGAGATTGAACCCAATCTGGACAAATAGAGATTTTGTGATCATCCTCAACCTGCCTTGTTAAGATTGGCGGTTTTTTTCCTCTCGCCCAACCACTGGTAAGCTGCTTGACCTTGGACTTGCGTTCCACCAATACGTTTATACCCTGATTGTCCTTATTTCCACTTTTCTCATTTCACACGCTGTAATAATAAAGTAAATAAAGGGTATGTTCCTCCGCGGTGCGTGGCACGGTCTATGTAATCTCATTAATGTATAGCTGAAATTATTATGCAAACTAACTGGATTCAACTTGTTCTCTCAAAATGTGCCACTGCCACGATTCCGCGTGTTCTTGGGACACTCATTTAACTTGCTCCCCCTGTGTTTCCTGCACCAAGAGGACCCTGCGGTTGGCAACATCTAGTCGCAGTTTTCTGGCGTGGACCTATGCTATGAGCAAAGCGAGAACCGCTGTTCTGCACGCATTACTGATCGATGGAACCGTTAAACAGGCTGCGTGCACATAGTTCTGTTCTCCTTCTGAATGTTTCTTTCCGGATAATATGTCACGAATCTGGACTCGGTCAACATTCCCCTTGCGATAATGGTAAACAACTTTTCTGAAAAAATGCTGATGTTTGGCTTGAAGGTTTCTGCGATTGCGTCCACAGGGCATGCACACTTGTGGCTAGAATGCAGCGACTTCCTTCGACTACCCAGACGACTTAAAACGATACTTCGTGGGAGTGCGGTTTGGTTCTACTGTTTGTTGTATAATTGAATCATTGATGGTGGTATCAGTATCGGTGGCGCAGCCAGCGACAGCGAGTGTCGGACAGTACTGTCTACAGCCATGTAGCGCTCGTCGTGGCTGCGATGAATTCGGGTCGCTAGAATAGAGCGACGCATATGGAACCGTGGTATAATACGGATCGAAATGTCATGGCTTGATAAGTCTCGTGGTATGGTTTATGCGAATAGCGTTAGTTCAACGAAGTTACATAAAAGTGAAAACATATGTATACTCGCCATATTATCCACGTTAACACAAGTACATCCGTCTACCCCGATTTCATGGGGTTGATGAGCACAATGTTTGTCTGCGTCTTGTCCTCACTCAATGAACAGAAATCTGATTAAGTAATGTAAATGGTGCGAATCGTCGTCGAGTGGTTTTTTATATATGGGTAATGTGGGCATTGAAATGACCGAAATCAAAGAGCGTTCCACGGTTGACAAACTCGAAAGGAGAAATAATTCCGGCGGCACTCAAGCGGACGGTATTGGTGGCAAGTTTCAATTTATGAACCCTCAGTTCTGTGTTGCAGCTAAGCTTCAGGAGGTGGGGGCATGCGTGATCGGCGTTTTTCAAAATCTGAAACATCAGGATGAGGTCACCCAGTAGACAGAGCTATCTTCCGATGTACACTCCCAGGGATTTCAGTCGCCTATGGTATTGCAGGTGGGACAAACCCTTCAGATTTTTCGTTATCCGTCGCTGTACGGTCTCCAGTGCAACCAGGTCGCGTTTTAACCAGGGTTGCCAAGCCTAGATGGCGTACGCTACATGAGATCTCACATACGCATTGAGCATTTGGGGGAAGATAGAGGGATCGAATCTCCCGAACGCCCTCCGTAAAAGACCAACATGTTAGTTCGCGGTTTTGGACACCTTCAGGGATTGCGCCGAACCGCTGAGGTCGTCGTGGATTTCCACTCCAAAGTCTCGCTCTTGTGAGGCGGTGTTCATCATATTGTCTCCAAGCTTATATGCGTACGTAGGCTTGTGGTGGACATGCACGGTTTTGCACTTGTCCGTGTTAAACGGAATTAGATTTGCCTTTGTCTATTCAAAAGCGCAGGCCAAGTCTCGTTGCAACATATCATAATTTTCTGACACTCGATTGCCCTCCATGTCTTGATGTCACCGTCATAAAGCAAGAAATGAGACTTGATGATACTCGCGAGGTCGTTAACGAAGAACAAGAAAAACCGCGACCCCAATAATGACTCTTGTGAAACACTGCAGTCCACACCAATTGGACCAGAAAATGAACCTCGAACTCGAACGTGAAGACGCCGCGGAAAGAGGAAGATTCCGATCCATCCAACGACAAGGTTTCCAACTCCCTATGCTTGCAGCTTTTGGAGGATGCGGTGATCTATGCGGTCGAATACTTTGGCAAAGTCTAGGTAGATGACATCAATGCCGGTCCCACTGTCGGCTATCTCGATCCAACTTCCACGGGCAAGTAGCAGGTTGGTAGTACGTGACCGATGCTGACGGAATCCGTGTTGCTCCGGTGCTGTGAGGTTAGACCCTTCGAATTAGTTCATTAAAGCCGCACCAATGATCGATTCCATCACCTTGGA